GAATGTGTTGGAAAGAGTATCAGAATGGGGCAAGCATGTTACAATGCTTTGCTAGAATACCCTCTGAGCGTCCAGCAGCAGTCCGGTAACTTCCTGAGCGAAAGTGATATTCTTTCATGGTAACAGCCCATGATGGATGAATTCACAGAGAAAGAATCTCATGATATTATGCTTTTTGTACTGATGTGAATTTTTGGTATCATGAACTTCTGTGGCAAAAAGTTCCACGATGTAACCATTTAAAGTGAGGAATCACTTATTTCTCTAAATTCGTCTTCCCGCTGTTTTCATTGGATGTCCCTGACTACTTTTGCTACAAGAGACAGTGAACAGTCACTTCACGTTTACCTTCTTACCACTCTTGTTTTTAAACACTTCTCATGTATCTATTCCTGACTTTTTCCTAGACTTCTGGTTCCAGTTAGTTTTTACAATGAAGTATATAGAAAAAGACACAGAAAAGAGTGCTCTTCCATCATGCGTAGGAATAGTTATTTACTGCAGTTATAGGTAGATTTTTTTTTTTTAATGGTTCGGTTATGGTAATTATGGGACTTGAGTATTAGGAATCTATTACTTAAACAGTATCATCAGCATAACAACTCATGATTTCTATGTATCTTGTTTCCAGGGGTTGGCCGAGGCATTTTTAGACCATCTTTGGAAAAAACTGCATGATCCAAACAATCCTTCAGTGATCAGGCAGACTGCTGGGAGTTATATTGGCAGCTTTTTGGCAAGAGCTAAATTCATTCCAGTTGTGTAAGTTGTTTTGATATATGAGCAGAATCAAACAATTTATGATTGCTGAGGTTAAGTACAGAATTCAGAGAATGACACACAGTGTTGGTCTTCTATTCCCACTGCTTTGTTAGTAAGCCTAAATCAACAGTCTTGTTTGTCCTTTCTACAATACTGTTTCAGTATTGTCTTGAAGATTCCAGGAAAGTTTTGCATTTATGGGATACAGACTAGTGATTGCTGTGATTCATGACTTGCTGTTTAAGGCTTCACTTTCCAAGAACTGCTGAGCACGGGTAGGTTATGTTGGCTTCAGGCAGTCATGGATGCCTGGTATATCTGTTGTTCAGAAGCAGATATTTTTAATGCTCTGTGTTAGGCATTTTATGTAGACTCTGAGACAGGAAGTCACATGTTCTAGTATTCTGATACAGATGGATTAAAGTACTTCAGCAGATGGGTGAAAATGTCATCTTTTGTACATACACATTCTGTATTTTTATGCTGTTCAGGGTGGGCTCAGTGACTTTAATGTTGAACTTAATTTGATATTGGAATTACTTGTTGGACGTGGGAGACATCCTCTCTCTGTACTACCTGTAGCTCAGGATTCTGATTGTTTACTGCACATTTCACATGCAACATGCGTTCATGGATTCATCTCTTCTGGCATCTTGTGCTTCACTGATGGAGGTTTTCAGTGCTGATACATTGATTCATTTTATGCTGAGGTAAAGGAGAAAGCTCATAACAAAATCTCATTTTTTACAGTGAGATTTTCTTACTGATGTTTTTATAACCGCTGAGATCCTTGAATACTTGTTTAACATCTTTTCTACACCATTTCAGGTGCTATTTTCACACCTTTTTCCCCCCCCCCTCCATTATAGTACAGTAAAAGCATGCCTGGATCTTCTGGTGAACTGGATGCATAAATACATTGATAATCAAGATACAGGGGCTAACGCTTACTGTGATGTAGCTCTCCACGGGCCATTTTATTCTACATGTCAGGCGGTGTTCTATACACTTATTTTCCGTCATAAGCAACTTTTGGATGGAAACTTAAGGAAAGGTGAGTATATTAGGTTTGAACGGTATTCGAATTCATTTGCAAGTTTTACTGTGGATGTGTTTTGTAATGGTCAGTTCAGTCAAGTATCTGATGGCGAGTTTATGTTGTCCTCTACATAAAATGAGATGGCCTGTACACCTCTTGGGCTACCACCCTAAATAATCTTTTTTTTCCCCCACTATTGAAAACAATGCTGATAACTCCTCAACACTGATACCTGGCCCCACTTGCTGAGCATGTTTGAATTCCAGCTATATAAAACTAGTGTGGGCTTCAATTAATAATCTGTCTTGACGACTCTGTACCTCTGTCAGTCACTGTAATGGGTGTGTAAACATAGTGTCTATGTTAGAAGGATCCCTTGGCTGTGGCAGGTTACTGTTATTTAGAGTAGCTTTTCTGCTGAACAAGCTGTGGGCTAGATCTCTACTGTAAGAGAGTGGCCTAGGATGTGCTTCTCTGGTTTTCTGCAGAGTGCAGGCTGGTCAGACTAGAAATTCTTAGAAATAAAGTTCAGCATATATGATACATAACCTGTATTTGTCAATTGTTCTTATCTTCAAGGTCTGTCATATCTGCAGAGTTTAAATTTTGAGCGCATTGTCATGTGTCAGCTAAACCCCCTGAAGATTTGTATACCCTCTGTTGTGAACTTGTTTGCTGCCATTACCAGGTACCTACTCATTTATTTCAGGTTTCAGCTTGATACAGATATTTGTGTGTGTATCTAAAAACAGCACAGTACTTAGAACGTGGGTTTTCTTAGGCACAATACTGAGTATTATCTAAGACAACTCATATAACGCTGCCCATATTCTAGGTGGGATAAGTTTGTTTCTCATTCAGTTTCAGTGAAATCTTACAGTACTATGAAACTGATTGCTTTGTGTTGGAGCCAATATGATTCTACTTGGAGTGAAGTTCATAGGAGTGTAGAAGAAGAGAATATACTCCTTACCTTGTGACTATCTTGAAAACTCCTAATATCAGTTGGAAAATGGAAGATAGAAGTGATGTTTGTTAAAAAATAACTTTGTATTTTAATACCATCTGAAATTTTTGCTTTCAGTGTGCTAGAAATGCTTATCTTTTCTTTATTAATATATTATTATTTTCCTTTTTAAAGGAAATACCAGTTGGTGTTCTGCTACACAATTATTGAGAGGAACAATAGGCAGTTTATACCAGTTGTTCGGAGTGGCACTGGGGGTGACCTTGTGCAGACATGCACTAACCCACTTGACAGTTTCTTCCCCTTTGATCCGTACATGCTCAAAAGGTACAGTTTAAAAATAAATAACCTGTTTCTGCCTTGTAGAAAATAATGAACTAAAACTGTAAGAAACTGTCAGTGTTTCTACAGTTCACTTTCTTCCCTGATCTTTAGTACCTTTCATGTTGCATATGTTAACCAGAGATTGTCAAAGGTTTGAATTGAAATTTACTTCCACTGTGACATACAGTGATGAAGAAGGAACAGGACCCAGTTTCCTGGAAGGTCTAGTTAGTATGTTTGGTGACTTTTCTTTTGGTTTTCCTTGTTTTAAGCAGTCATTAAAATATCATAATGTTAGCCTAATACATATTTTGTTGGAGCTGTGGTGGTGTTACGTCATTTTTTTGTTGGTTTGGTTTGAGTTTTTTTGCACCTTGAGTGTATTGCTTCTGGATTGGAGACTTCAGCTTACTTAAAATATCTTGGGTTTTTAATGAATAGTGTATAATTTGCAGCTTTTCAAAATGTCTAGTGCTGTGGTGCTTTAATAACTTTGTAATGTTAGAGGGCAACAACATTCTGGCTTTTTTTTTTTGTCTCAATTAAAAAAATGTCTCCACAGGAGGGAGACATTTCTTAGAAGTAGAAATTATTAATATTAACAATTATATTAATATTAAATTACATAAAATTAGATATATTGTGTAAATATGTACTGTATTAATAGATAACATCAATAAAATTACTAAAAATGATCTTCAATAATTTGGAAGAAATTATGCTTATTTGTAAGCATAGTGTAGCTGTTAGAAATACCCAGCTAGGAGTTAGGAGACCTGACTGTTACAACTCCTCAAGCAAGCAATTGTAATTTATACAAATTGGAGCAAAATGGAGTTATTTCTTCATGGGATTAATTGGGGATTATATAGGGATTAATTGAATAGTTTGTAAAACCCTACTGAGGGCTATCAAAATGCCAAGCATTTTTTATTGTATTATTAAAATTAAATACATATGACTTTCACTAAATACATTAACTCATACTGTGTTTTAATCCCTCTTTCAGATCAAAGAAGACCATTGATCCTCTTTATCAGTTTTGGGAAGAGCTGAGTGCTGAAGACCTTGAGAATCTGAAGAAACCCATTAAAAAGGTAATCTTTTCTGATCAAAATGCAGCTCAGCTTTTGCCAAATCTCTATCAGCTGCTTCTATGGCAGGATTAATTGGTTTTAGTTGATATAAGTACACTAAACGTTTAGGGGAAACTGTGATTGAAATTTGGAAGCTTTAGGGATTGATCCATCTTTGCTTTGAGAACACTTTTCCCCTCTTCTGCAGAGGAGTTAGGTTGGCAGCCCAGGACCGCTGTGAATGCTTATGAACACTCTCAGAATATGGATATGCTGGGAGATCCACTTTGTAGATATGATTTAGTTCCCATACTTCATAATGAGAGTACATCTAATTCTCTTACCATTCCAACTAGTCATGACAATTGTTGTACAACCCAAATCCTGAATTATGACCTTCTAAAGCTCCTATGTAGTCTGTTGACCTTCTTGCAGAATGTCTATCCTATGTCAGATTTTTGAGTCATTTGAACAGGGTGTTTTTCTTTCCTTCCTGTGATAACACATAAAAAATACTTTATGGTGGTGTAGCTTTGTTAACTGGTAACTTTATAAACTTTCCTATAGCGTTTTGATTAGCAGATTTGATTATTGCAACATTTCAGAATTTGATTTAGAAATACCTTTTTGGTCTCAGCATTCATTACTTCTGTTAAATCTTAACAGAGACCTGGAGAATCTTTCTGCTCTCACTGATCCTTTTAAATTTCTGCAGGGTACTTCTGAAGATGAAGATGATGACTTTTTGAAAGGAGAAACCCCTCAAAATGATGGTGTGGTTGGAATTGCTCCAAATTCTTATGAGTCAAATACCCGGAGCCCAGTAAGCAGCATTGGCTCCCCTCCAGACTGTTACGTGCCATACCCTCAATGACATGGAGAATCAGAAGTGAAAAGGTTGAAAATTGTGTGCAATTTTTTGCTCTGTAAAGAGACTTTAGCTCAACTTTCCGAACTGGCAAATGTTTAAGTAACTACATGTAAGAAAAATTATTGTTTCTTAATCATCAGATTTCTACAGATATGTTATGATAAAGTCATATGTTGCTAGAAAAGCTTAGAGAATAAATAGGGTGATATTTTACAAATTTCACATTGAAATGGTTTTTATGACTTAGAAGGATTTTTTTATAGTTGTTCCTGACTCTTAAGAACTTTGTTTACTAATGTTTCTCTACAAGGTTTTATATATCAGGGGTGAAATTCTGGTCTATCTTCCTACTGATTTGTGTGGGGACCAGAATTCCATTGTCAGTATTCAAACTGTACTCTGATGACTGTTTTTGAGTTAGTTTCAAAGTAATGGTATGATCCCACGATAGGGAAGCCATGAATCGAGTCTGACAGGGATTCTTTTGCACACATCTCTTAAGCTTTTCCTATATGTAGAACAGTGTTTGGTAAAGGCACTTGATAGTGGGAAGTGTATTCAGACGATAAGCATTATTGCTCCTTGAATCTGTAGCTGACACACAACTTCCCCAGCTATGAAAGTTCAGACTTGTAGAAGTGACAATTGTTGGAAGTGTTGAAAATGATAGAGTAGCTAAATGTATGATTTGTAGATAGTTTTCTTTGGGGTGCTTGTGAAGCACTCTGAGACGGGTATTTATTTTCAGGATTTGAAGTTTATATGTGAATGCTGAAAATACAAAAAAAATCTCCCCTCATAGAAATGAAGTGATGGTGTCACTGCTGTCCTTGTTTTGTCCATGTGTCAGTGTAGTTTCTCTGCATAGGTTTCTTGTCTTTTCATGATTGCTGGCTTTTAGATTTGAGTAAGAATATAAACAGTGGAAAAAATACATGTTATTTGTGTAACATTTAGTTGAAAATTTTATGCATTTGGGACTAAACTCTAATTGCCCTTCGTTAAAATCTGAACTTGGAGGCTTTCAAGACAACGTTTTTATTCAGAGCCAATAAAGATTGATGCAAACAGTGCAGTTCTTACACGTTTGAAAAAATACATCTCTCTATGTAACTAAGGATCCATTGGTGTAGTCTAGCTTCTCAAAGTTAGGTGGTTTGTTCTAACAGACTGCAAAAACTAGTTTTGGGGATGATACTGCAAAATGCATCAGTGAATCTGTTCATCATTGGATAAATTGAGACAGGTTTTGTTTTTAATTTTAGTCCTCTTTACTGTCAGTCCTGAGTAATAAACAATAAATTTCCATCTGAAATAATTGCATTCTCTCCTGGCATGGAAGAACCCTTCTTACATCAACAGCAAGGAGAACATCCTTTGAAAGGTGCCTTTTTCAGTTCTTTCACTGTTACGTCTTTAGGAACATAGTCAGCCACTTGTTACAAAATGAGGCTGTGTAAAACTTTCCAAGTTGTAATACCAGGTACATGATCCAGGAACTTCCACATCTCTTTAAAAGCAAAAGAAAGGACATAAGTGAAGTATAACATTAAAAAGAATGTGCAGACATTGACCTGTTTGTGCTGAAGCTGCACAGTTAACACTTGTATCCTGAAGGGACTTGCTTAAAACAAAGATTCATTTAGGAACTCCACAGTGTTTCTGTAACCTCTTCTGTGATAGATCTGATTTACTTAGTGTAATTGCAGAGAGGTGAGCTGGCAGGTGCTGGCATTTTGCTAAAGAGACTTTGTTCTATAAATACTTAACAGTCTTGTGAGGACTGGATTTGGAGGTGGAAATTTTGCCTTACGTGAGAAATACCATCTATGTTTTGAAGAAAGTATCTGCTATAACTGTTTACTTTTGTGAAAACTGGATCGGAAAGGTAGAGCAAGGGGCAGTGGCTTTTTTCTGTTGGTTGGTTGTGGGCAGGCCCCGGTGCCCTAGCTGTCCTCTCGCCCTGCGGAGTGGATTTAACTCTGCTGCTCCCACGACTGTTTTTCTTACTGTTCGTGCACGGACAACCGGAGGAAAAATCCCTGGTCTTTAAGGAAAAACTGTCGTCTTTGGGACCGTCTGAAAATTTAGTTCTGTGGTTGCTGGGGGAGGGGATAGCGGTGTGGGTTTATTGGTAAATTTGGGACTTGATCGTGGTTATTTCCCAAACGCTTTCTTACAATAACTTAGGGCTAAGCTCTCGGTCGCAGGAGGAGGGGATTTCTGCACCCCGAACGTGTCAGAAATTGTTAGGCGGTAACGTGACCGGGCATGTTTTCTGGCAGCGCCTCTGACCTCGCCTCAGGCGGCGCCCGCTGCGGGGCCGGGGCCGGGGCCGGGGCCGGGCCCGGGCCCGGGCCCAGACCCCGACCCCGCC